AGAAAGTTTAATACGGAAAATAGTCTCTTGTGGCTTAAAGTTTGGAGCATCAAGATGCAACGACCATGGAGTAGGCTCGAAGGCTTTTAGACGTTTTGCTTGACTTGCGGAAACCTCCATCTTACTCGTCATGGTTGGCTTGGAAAGCACAACATCTTCTGGAAGAACAAGGTGCGACTCTTTGGGTAGACTCAAATCTATCGACGGAGCATTGTTTGCAGCGTGACGTTCAACACCATCAAATAAAGTGTGAGGACTTTTTGCGGCCACACCGAGGGAATTTGGGCTTGTAACACAGTCTTCCACCGTGTCTTCACCAAGCACGTCATCATACAACTCATTGACGCCCAACTGCAAAAAAAGAAAAAGAAAAAGAAAAAAAACTTTAGTGTTCAAAAAAAACGAAAGGGAGTAAATTTGAAGGAAATAATATTTACTCGTGTCTCCAGTTCAGACAACGGCATCGTTGAGCTAGGGTCACCCTCTACGAAAAATCCAGTATCGATACTAAGAGCATCCAAGTCAGCAAACTCACTATGGCTCGTGATGTATGTCGTGACTAACATCACTCTCGTTCGAACTGGAAGTTGCACTAACATTAAAAATCTCATTGGGCAAAGCAGAAGCTTGAGTCCTTTCCTCGTTTGTTGGCACGACGTTGGTTGTCTTCGCAACATTTTTGTTTGGTGAAGTAGGAGGCGCTTTCCTTTTGCAAGGATTGTTCGTCACCTCTACAGTGGCAGTAGTTGACTTGGAAGTCAACAAAACGNCACCTCTACAGTGGCAGTAGTTGTCTTGGAAGTCAACAAAACATGTTTAGCTCCTTTGTCCACATGGGCTTCCCCGCCCGTCGAAGGGGTAGACTTGGGTAAGACCTTGGTGCTTGGCGAAGGATCTTTCGATCTTAACTTGGACTTGGAAGACCCTTCGTGAGTGTTCCTTTGACGTTGATCATCTTTGGAGGATAAAGGAATATCATCTTTCCTTGGAACTTTCAAAATGATATGAGTACTTTGTCGAGAAGAGTGCACTCGACGAGCTGACCACCAATCTGCATACTCACAAGTCATTAGAGGTCCCTTTTCTGATGGACGCGTAGGGACAATAACCTTTGATGAACCTCCAAGACGAACACAGGAGTCCCAGAATTGCACTAGCATTTTCAGTGAGCCGTTATAGGGTCGCTCTATGAGGTTGCCAGGAACATCTTGACAAAAGTCGAATTGATGACTAAACCTATGCGGGCTATAAGATTCCACAATATGAATGTCGTCATGCCTAAGGGTGATGAAGCTTGAGCGAAAACTTATAAAAAAGTCACTCCAAGAATTCGATTGTTCGTCACGATCGGTAAGATTCAATTCCCTCCCTTGTAGCATAGCCAAATGGTGAAGTTGTCGTGCACTAACTTGTTGAAACAACGCACGGGCATTACTAAGGTCAAAATGCTTGGCCATCTTCTCGCCAGAAACCTTGCACATTTGCAGACCTCGTTGTGGACGCTTAACACGATAGTAGGTGTCAAAATATGCTCCTATCCATCCATATACGTAATGAATAGGAAAGAGTGCTTTGCAGGCACCCAAATCTTGAGAAGTGGAGACCTCTTTCAAGCCATGATAAATACTTGCAAGGACGGGAACCGCCAAGAAAAACTTCTCTCCATGAGCCATCAGACTCGCAATTTTGAAGACACTAGCATGAATGTAGTCGATCTTCTTGTTGGGAAACACAAATTTGCAAAGCCAACATGCAAGGAAAGCCGCCAAATAAGTCTCAGCTCTAAGTGACTCCTCTACGCCAAGCTCAATAAAGGGGGCATTCTCCTCATCGGTTCGTGGTAGGAAGCTCGCGTCAATATTCCCAGAAGGATTATGATTCAACTTCGGCCTTGTAGTCCAATTCCTTGATGACTTTTGCGGAGGCTTGGCATACCTACTCGGGCCTCGAAACCAAAACTCCACCCAATCACGAATGGAGACCACGTGGACATCATCCTTTATGAGTTTGTAGAATACCGAGAATAGGTGCAGACAACTTCTTGGGAGGAAAGGTTTTCCTTGATCGTCTTCTTGTTTCAACTCCTTAGCCGAGGGGATAACTTCGTCGTAGAAAAACCCATGCACCGGAAGGCCTATGATTGCTCGCAAGTCCCACAAAGAGATGGAGAGTTCACCAATGGAGGTAGAATTGTGTTGGTAGATGGACGCCAAAGCTCACAAAAGGCATGGAGGACATTCTCATTGTAGTCATATGTGAACAACGAAAGCAAAGATGGCGTCATAGACCTTGATGCCATCCAGAGTCAACTTGTTGCGGGCAATAACATCTTCTACCCACTCCCAATATTTGGACGTATAGCGAACTTCACCAAAGCCGGAAGGAGGAACACTCCAAGTGGCGAGACGTCCATCGTAATCACGATGAAGAGGACTAGCAGACGCGACCTTTTGATGGGTGGAGGACTTCAAAAGTAGGACCTTCATGTTGGTTGCTTGGCCCAAAAATCTGTCCAATGCATCCTTCGTCTCTCTAGTCGACCATTCTGCAAGATCAAGGGAGGCGTCAAGCGACTTTCTAGTGAGCGGGAAAGCACCTATCACCGGAGGATGAACTTTTAAAGTTAGAACTTGGGCGCGCGGATTCTGCTTGTCGCTAATAATCTCAAGGTGTGGGTATGGTGTATCATGGTCGATGAAACGCATCCTTGCTGATAGAATTCACAGCCCTATGTGCTGCTCCAAGAGTCTGCGAAGAAAAAAAGGGAAGAATCTATGAATAAAAACAGCAAGACAGAATGGGGCAACATGTCATAATATGTTGCCTAAATTCGAGAAAACATCTGGGAATATATCATCATATTCTGATTATGATTTTACCTATGTCGTAGCTCCGGAAGTCTAGTTTCCGTTACCGCAAACCGCTCACAATTTCGGCATTCCTACACCAAGATATGATTTTTTTGGTTAAGACGCGCAAAACTGAAATGTCGAGCGCGATAGAACTTGAACCAAGATTACGAAGCTCACCTGGGATGATACAATACGAATTTAAATTCAAATTTTTGGTATGTTGTAGTACTCCGAGCCTAGTTTCTGTAGCCGCAAACCTCTCGTGATTTCGACGTTCCTACACCAAGATATGTAGTTTTTTGTGAAGACGCGCAAAGCCGAAAGATCAAACGCGGCAACACGTGAAACAAAAATTAAAAACAATACCTAAAATGGTACAGAAGGATTTTTGTTCCGGTTCTTGGATATGTTGCAGCCCTCTGTGTCTTGTTTTAGTAGAATCAAGCGGCTCATTATTTGGAGTCTCTGACAATGAGATATGAACTTTTTGCCACAGACATGCAAAGCTGAGTAATATAAAACGGCAGATTGCGAACTGAAGTTTAAATGTTACCGGAGGAGGTACAAAATGTATTTTGCTCTGATTTTTCTTATATCCGTATTCCTACGAGTTTAACATCAAAAGGATCAAGCGGCTTGTGTTTTGATGCTCCTATGCCAACATGCAAATTTTTCTTTTGAGGGGTACAAACTGTAAATAGATGCCAAAGCAAAATTAAGGACAAACGGCAGAAAACCTTCATGGAAAACGTTCTAGAACCTCTTCTATTTATAGAAGTGTTAAGTCAGCTGTTGTTAGCTTGATGAACAAGAACTTTCCTTTAAAAATAAGATTCAATTGGTCGTTGACTAGCAAGCCTCATATGGAAATTTTGAGACAAAATTCAAATTGTTGAAAAAGGAAATAGACCTAATGCGTGAGACAAACATGGAACACAACAAAAAAAAGACAAACATGGAAAGTTGTCTGACAATTTGCAAGAATTCTCCATTACTAAAATTTGCAATTGCTACATCCAAATCAAATTACATTGCACACACATGTTCTACAACCAAAGTATTGGAAGGTTAATTTTTGTTTGGAGTTTGTATTTAGCATTTCACATAAATGTGCAACTCGATAAAAGTTCAGATTTGACCGGTAGAAGTCACCACAAGTGCTGAAAAAAAAATATCAACGTCCACGGGTACTTCAAGTCTCGTCGTTTGTTTCAGCAAGCCTACACCGCGACAAGCCTTGAAGTAGAGAGCATTTGTAGACAAATAAAATTTTATTAAATCTAAATCCACAAGTAATTTGGATTTAATCATGTATTAAATATATATTAGTCCAAATGATACTATGGGCTAGTATAATCGGGTCAATTATTTAAATCTAAAATAAATTAATTTAAATAAAAGTCCAATATATTATTGGGCTAGCCCTCAAATTGGTCTTCTATTAAATGGGTCGGCCCATAAGCCTCAAGCCCAATGATCCACTAGGGTTTTCTTGGAAATTACTCTACCTCACACCTATATAAAGGGGTCAAAGGAGAAGACTAAGAAAGAAGCAAGTAAGCAGAAGGAAAGGCTAAAGAGGCTCTGAAGAATAGCATCAAGGTCTCCATCCATATGTGCAATCGTCGTCTTTGGTCAAATTCCAAAAGTGAACTCAAGTCATAGGCGAACGGCTTCAAATCTTCCGTTCGTGATAACCCAACACCAACTCCTGGTTCGTGATGAGCTTCAAATCGTTCGTGACGTACTACAAATCTGAAATCCGTCAAGTTCAAGATCAAGCTTTCAAGCTCTTGAACCATCATCCGTGAGGAGAAGAATCAGAGGACTACATCTCTTTAGATTTAGAGATATTTTAGTGATTGTAACCCCATCACTTGAAATTAAATATAATATTTATCGCTATATTTCTTGTCTTGATTATTATTTTTCAGGAGCGAAATTTAGTTGTTACAGGTGTATAATAGTGTATAAGATGTGTTTATACACTCATATACTATTATACAAGATTACACATAATTATACAAAAAACTAGTTCGTCTTCTTCCTTGCATCTTTTATGAAATTTAACTCAAATCTACTCCAAATCACTTCAAATTTATATTTTCAATCAATTGGAGCAACACTCAATCCAAATAACTAACAAACTCAAAAAGTCCTATTTTCAAAAGCAAAGTTTTGAATGGCTTTCAATGGTAGACTTCTACTCTTCAATTTTTTTACATTGCAACCAGATGACATAGGAGGAGAAACAGTAATAGCGGACGACCCCTTGAAGCATATGTAAAAGATGTGAGAAGAAGAGAGAGTGAAAGCAATTGTTGTGAGAACACAGATTTAACTCCATAGCTTTTAGAAGCAATGGTTGTAAGAACACAGATTTTGAATTTGCAAGAGCTACTGTTTTCAAAATATGTACAATATGAGCTAGGTCGGGTAAAATTTAAAAACATGGGTCATTTTTTGTTATGGTGTGAAGTCATGTATTTTCTTGTAATTCTTTTTATTTTGTATTTGAATCGATCTAAAATCTCGAAGAAATTACACCCTTAAATATGAGTTTTAAGGTTATTTAAGTGATTTTAATAGAAAAAGAGTTTATCAGCATTTTTTTTCAAGACTGCATCAAGTTATGCATCCAAACACGTAACTACTTATTTATTAAATTAGTTTCAACATTTAACAATACTTTTGGACACCTAATACTTATCAACTACTTTAAATCAACTAATCCAAACATGCTCTTAGACTTGAGTTCGAGAAGTATTAAACAAGAAAATGATACGTACCTGAAAATCCTTATTAATTATCATTCCAACGGTGCAAAAACCGGTAGCGGAAATAGCAATAATCATCTGAATCTCCAACACAGTAGTATAAGTAATCGCTTGTTTTGCCTTCGTATAAATCAACTCAATAAGCGGCAACATCAACCCAAAACAAACCGCACCTAAAAGCGTCGTTACAAACCCCAACACATAATCGACCGCTGACTCACCGGCCGGCTGGTCACCGTTCAGTCGGAGAGCCAGAGTTGCAGCTCCGGCGATTAACAAAACAACAGCAAACGCTGAATACACCGTCAATTTTTGCTTAACTATAAGTACAGAAAAGAGTGTAGTAAACGCAAGTTGGGTTGCGAAAATAAGAGTCGAAGTTGAAACGGGTAGTTTTGCGGGCCCCAAGAGATTAAATAACCATCAAGACCGGCGATGATTCCGACGCCAGCAGCTCCGATGAGTTCTTGTCGAGTTATAAAGAATACTTTAGCCGCCGGTCCCTCAATTTTCCGGCGATGAAAATAGGAAATGGTTAAAGGGATGAGAATAATGGGACAGGCAACAGTTTGCAACCAACTAGAAAGCCAAAGTCTTTGACCGCCATTGATGAAATAGAGACGAAGGATCAAAGGGCCACCGCAGTTGCCTATTGCAAACATAATTATGTTCAAAATTATAGGATAAGTTTCTTCATTTTTGCTGATGTACTGAGTTTCTTTATGGTTGACTATATATAACATGATACATAACAAAATACATGATATTACAGCAGTAATTAAGCCTTATGCCTTTAATTAATGTTGGCACGTGAACATATTGTTTGATATTTTATACTATAGTTAAGGCTGTTACCATTTTCTATAATACACGCCGTGCATATAATAGACTTTGGTAAGCGCTTGTGTTGACCTAAACAAATTAAAAGTCATTTGCATTAATGCCTTCCATGTCCCAAAGATTATGGCGCCCTCTAAGGGCAAATTGTATCGTCATAACATGTACTGTNTACAATTTTACATATTATAATGATAGCATTTTCAAAAGTCTTGAGAAATGATTTGGGGAGTGGGTAGGTAATGATAAGGGTAAAACACGAAAAAAAAAATTGTCTTTCTCTTAATTTAGTATAATGGACAAGTAAAAGTGAAAATATATTTTTAGTATAGTGAACAAGTAAAGTGAACATAGGGAGTAATTTAGAAGGTGTATATTCAATTTTTTTTTATTGGTGTATGCTATATATGCTTTGTCCAAATTGAACCTTGGCTCATTCCTCTTAGCTCCTTTGCTGGTTAATTCAATGAGCTATATCAATGGTTATGTTTAGTTATCATAACAAAGAACAGTCAACTCTTCTAGCTATCTTTCTCTAATCTTGAAAGATTAAAATGAGATGACATATCTGATGAACGGGATTCTTTTATTATGTTATTCCTTATAATAATGTCAATGACAGTTAAATAAGAAAAGCCAACTCGGCTAGCGTCATTCTCAAATCTCGAAAGATAAAAATGAGATAATAATAGTTAATAGATCTGATGAAATGGATTCAATTATTTCATTAATGTTCATTCGTTTTGGCAGATGCAACAAATTAACTTGAAAAGAAAAGACTAATGGGTCAAGTTTTAAATAGGAGTATTTGTCATTTTTAGCCCGCGCCAGAAACTATTNTATATTCTTTATGTTATATTAAAATGTGATGACCCAAAAGATCATCTCTTATTTTAAAAGTCAAATCTATATTCCGAAACCTTAGAAACCTCCTTTTATCTCTCTTTGATTTGCGTGCGCAGTCCGAGCGCGATACCGGAAATCTTTTGTATAAAAAATTTGAGAAATAATAATTTTTGGCTTAAAAAGATGATTTTAGTTGATTTCGGTCAATATTTTGGGTAAACGGACTCGGACCCGTATTCCGACGGTCCCAGAGGGTCCGTAGTAAAATATAGAACTTGGAAGTATGCCCGAAATCGAATTACGAGGTCTCTAACCCGAGAAATAAATTTTTGAAGAAAATTGTTTAACTGAAAATATAATGGTTTTTGGAAATCTAAATAGATTTGATCTTGTTGGTATCGGACCCGTATTTTGGTTCCGGAGCCCGGTATAGGTTCGTTATGGTATTTAGACCCTATATGTGAAATTTGGTGGAAAACGGAAGTAATTTAACGTGATTCGGACCATTAGTTGAGAAAATAGGAAGTTTAAAACTATATTGAAAATTTCACGAGTTTTGGTGCTAAATTCGTTGTTTAAGATGTTATTTTGGCGATTTGATCGCACGAGCAAATCCTTATGATATTTTTAGACTTGTGTGCATGATTGGTTTAGAGCCCCGAGGGCTCAGCTGAGTTTTGGATAGCGCACGGAGTGTTTTGATACTTAAAGAATTAGCTGTTGTGTTGCAGATCTGCAGACTTCGCAATTGCAAAGTCTGACTTCGAAGTTTCAACGCATTTGCGATCAGAGGGCAGGGAGGGGGACCTTCGCATTTGCGAAGTTTATCGTCGCAATTGAGACTCCAATAGTCACCGCATTTGCGAAGGCAGCAGGTCAGGCCAAGCTTCGCATTTGCGATGCTTTGGTCGCATTTGCGAACTTTTGATCGCAAATGTGATATGTGCGACTGTGTAAATCATAACTTAGACGGGATTTTCACCTATTTTTCAAATTTCTCGAATCCTAAACCTCCCTAGGCAATTTTTCAAAGACCCAAACTTTTCCAAATCATAGGTAAGTGATTTCTAACTCAGCTCTTTCAATCCATCTCATCTTTTTGCAAGATTTCATCATAAAATCTAGGGATTTTCATGGGAAATTGGGTGTTTTTGGATAGAATTTAGGAATTTCAAAATTTGGGGAATTAGACCTCAAATTGAGGTCGGATTCAAAAATTAATTGTATATCCGGGCTCGGGGGTAAATGGGTAATCGGGTTTTGGTCTGAACTTCGGGTTTTGACCAAGGGGGCCCGGGGTCGGTTTTTGACTTTTTGGAAAAAATGTTAGAAAATCTGTGATTATGCATTGGAATTGTTTCCTTTAGCGTTTATTGATGTTGATAAATTAATTATGGCTAGATACGAGTGAATTGGTGGTGGAATCGAGAGATAAAGTGGTGATTGAGTGTTGAATTACCCGTTGGCTTGAGGTAAGTGTTTGAACTAACTTTGACTTGAGGGAATAGGAATCCCCCGACTTATTTGCTATGTAAAATTCTATATGTGTGGCGTATAGGTGTGGTGGCGAGTACCTATGCGCCACCAAATTTCCATTTTTAACTTGTTCCCTTCCCCGTTTCCTATTATATTATTTCTTGCATTAATTGCTACTTGTTCATAATTGCTTTCATGTTTTAATTGCTACTTGCTCATATATGTTCCATGCCTAATCACTTCATATTAAATGTTGTTCTCTTTATTGAAGTATTTAATTATTTCATGGTTTTATTTTAGTACAATGTTGGCTTATATTGGTTTGTTAGTACCTTATGGCACACTTTGGTTGGTCTCGCTGAGTAGTTTACACCGGTGAAGTTTTCTAATCATAATAATATTCCATTGTGTAGATTGCGGTATAAGTATATTGGGGAAATTGAATTTGCCTGTGAAACACTTGTCTTTATTCATTTGTGATTGATGCTGATATATATATATATATATATATATATATATATATTGTGGGATCGGGTTACACGCCGCAACAAGAAGTCATAAGGGTGGACAGGTGGGATTGGGTTGCACACCGCAACCGGAGGAATAAGGGTGATATGTGTTGAGGAGTAATAAGGGCGGACAGGTGGGATCGGGCTGCATGCTGCAACAAAGAAGAATAAGGGTGAATATTGATTCTGTTGTTGTTTATGTGATGGGATCGGGATGCGCGCCGCATCAGTTGTTGTTAAGTGTGCATATCTGTTGAGGTCCATTATTGTGCTATTGAGACACTCCTAAGGATTGGTTATAGGTGAATACTAGTAGAACAGTTGGGTTCCGGATTTATTTAATGCCAGTTATTGCTTCATTTATTCTGTATTTCCTTTCTATTTAGTATAAACTGTTGCAGGTTGTATATGTTGTATGCCCCACCGTAGCCTCGTCACTACTTCGTCGAGGTTAGGCTCGACACTTACCAGTGCATGGGGTCGGCTGTACTGATACTACACTCTGCACTTTCTGTGCAGATTTTGAAGCTAGTGGCTGATCGTGAGGTTGGTTGCCATCACTACTTCCCGGAGACCCAAGGTAGTCCTGCAGGCCCTGGCGTCCCCTTCTATCCTATTTCATTTCTGTTTTATCTACTTTCAAGACAGATGTAAACTTTTCGTTCAGACCTTTTATTATAGTATTCATGGATGGTTCGTGAGTTGTGACACCAATTCTAGGTGGATTTTATTTCGATTTTCGTTATTGTATAAAGTTAAGCTTTTAAACTGTTTCTTCCGCATTTATTTTCGTTGGGTTCATTTTGTTAAGTCTTAAATATTTGAAAGATAAAGGAAAAAGGTAAGATGTTCTCTAATGTCGGCTTGCCTAGCGGGTTCAATGTTAGGCACCATCACGGTCCCGAATGTGGGAAATTTGGGTTGTGACAAGTTGGTATCAGAATTCTAGGTTGCTTAGGTCCCACAATTCACGAACAAGCTTAGTAGAGTCTGAGGGATCAGTACGGAGACGTCTGTGCTTATCACCAAAGGCTACAGAGTTAGGAATAATTTCACTTATGTTCATCTCTGTCGTGCGGTTTGATCTCTCAATACTAATTGAACTTTCTACTCTGTTTTTTCGCAGATGGCAAGAACACGTACCGCTTCATCAGCTGATCAGCAGCCCGAGCCCCCAGCAGCAGCTCCTACGTGGGGCAGAGGACGAGGCCGAGGCCGAGGCAGGGGCAGGGCTCAGCCCAAAGCTCGAGGAGCAGCACCAGTGGCGGAGCCTCAGGTAGAGTTTGATGATGAGGTTCCGGCCCAGACCGTTCCAGTAGGGCCAGCTCAGGTTCCGGAGGGGTTCATAGCTACCCCAGTGCTTCAGGATGCTTTGGTCCGACGAATGGGCCTTATGGAGAGTGTTACTCAGGCCGGCATACTTCCTGTAGCACCAACTGCCTCTCGAGCTGGGGGGAGGAGCACAGACTCCCGCTACTCGCACTCCGGAGCAGATGGCTCCTCAGTTTCAGACTTCAGCAGCTCAGCCAGTTGGGGTAGTCCCGCCGGGTGTTGTAGCTCAGACCGGTAATGGAGCAGTTATGTCTTCTGATGCTTTGTAGAGATTGGATAGGTTCACCAAGCTTTTCTCTACTACCTATGGCGGTACATCCTCAGAGGATCCCCGGGACTATTTGTACAACTGTCATGAGGTTCTACGGAACAAGGGGATAGTGGAGACCAATGGGGTCGACTTTGCTACTTTTCGGCTATCAGGTTCCGCCAAGAATTGGTGGAGGGATTATTGTTTGGCCAGATCAGCTGGGTCGTCTGTTTTGACTTGGGATAAGTTCTCTCAGCTATTTCTAGAGAAGTTTCTCCCTATCACTCAGAGAGAGGATTATCGAAGGAGTTTGAGCGCCTCCGGCAGGGTTCTATGACCGTTACTTAGTACGAGACCAGATTTATTAACTTGGCCCGTCATGCTCTTCTTATACTTCCCACTGAGAGAGAGA